TAGAAGGAAAAAATGAAGAAAAAAAAAATGGAATAAAAAGTAAATGAATTAATAAATAAATAAAAAAAAAAGGAAATGTAGAAAATAAAAAAATGAGTTAAAGTAAGAAAGATAAAAGAAGAAAAAACTCAAGTTCTATAAAAAAGTAAATGAATTAAATAAAAAGCTAATTAACAAATTAAAAGAGTTTATTATTTTAAATTCATTTTTATAAAGAAAATATCAAAATCCAAAACAAATAAACTGTTTTTACCCAAGATCAAGTGTTATATTTGAGATATTAGTACAATTTGCTAAAGCAGGACATAAGTTTGATGCACCAATTTAATTCCTACTTTTTAAATATTGAAGAAAAAATAAAAAGTTAATTAAAAACACAAGTAAAATAAAAAAGAAAAATAAATCAAACAAACAAGCAAAAAGCAAATTAAAAGAGTAATATTGTTTTAAATCCATTTTTATAACTAAAAATATAAACAAAATAAATAAACTGTTTTTACCTAAGAAGAAGTGTTAAATCTGATAGATTAGTGCAATTTGCTAAAACAGAAACTAAGCCTGACCAGCCTTAATCACCAATTTAGTTTTTCCTTTTTAAATATTCAAGAAAAAATATTTAGTTAAATAATTTATTTGAAGGAAAAATGAAGAATAAATATGAAATAATATATAAATAAATAATATGTTGAAAATCAATAATAAGTTAAATTAAGAAACATAGAAGAAGAAAAAACACATGTACAACAAAAAAGAAAAAGAAAAATAAATATAATAAAAATGTAGAGCGTTTAAATTCATTTTTATATCTAAAAATATCACTATTCAAAGCAAATAAACTGTTTTTACCTAAGATTAAGTCTCAAATTTAAGAGATTCGTGCAATTTGATAAAGCAGAACCTAAGTCTGATGCGCCTTAATCAGAAATTTAATTGAAACTTTTGAAACATTGAAGAAAAATAAATAAATAATTAATTAGTTATTTAGAAGGAAAAAATGAAGAAAAAATATGAAATAATAAGTAAGTAATGAATAAATAAATAATAAAAGCAAATGCTGAAAATAAAAAAATGATTTAAATTAAGAAAGATAAAATAATTAAAATTGCATGTACAATAAAAAAGAAAAAGAAATCAAATAAAAAGCTAATAAGCAAATTAAAAGAGATAGTTATTTTGTCCTAAATTCATTTTTATAGCTAAAAATATCACAATCCAAAACAAAAAATATCTTTTTACAAAAGATCAAGTACTAAATTTGAGAGATTAGTGCAATTTGCTAAAGCAGAACTTAAACCTGATACACCTTAATCACCAATTTAATTCTCACTTTTTAATTATTGAAGAAAAAATATTTGGTTAATTATTAATTTAGAAGGGAAAAATGAAGAAAATATATGAAATAATAAGTAATAAATAAATAAATAATAAAAGCAAAAGTTGAAAATAAAAAAATGAGTTAAATTAAGAAAGATAAAAAAGAAAAAAACAAGTACAATAAAAAATAAAAATAAATTAAATAAAATAAAATAAAAAGTCAATAAACAAATATATTGTTTTAAATTAAATTTTATTACTAAAAATATCTCAATCTAAAACAAATAAAGTGTTTTTACCCAATATAAAGAGTCAAATTTGAGAGATTAGTGCACTTTGCTAAAGCAAAACCTAAACCTGATGCACCTTAATCACCAATTTAATTCTCACTTTTGAAATATTGAAGAAAAAATAAAATTAATCAGTGATTAAGAAAGAAAAAATGTGAAATAGTATAAATTAATAAAAAATAAAAGCAAATGTTGGAAATTAAAAAAAATAAATTTATGTAAGATTGAAAAAAAAAACACAAGTACAATAAAAAAATAATTTGAATAAAAAGCTAATAAACAAATTAAAAGAATTATATTGCTCTAAATTCAAATTTATAACTAAAAATATAACAATCCAAAACAAATAAATTGTTTTTACAAAAGAAGAAGTGTTAAATTTGAGAGATTTACACAATTTGCTAAAGAAGAACTTAAGCTAGATGTGCCTTAATCACCGATTTAATTCCTACTTTTTAAGTATTGAAGAAAAATATATAAATACTTATTTATTTAGAAGGAAAAAGAAAAAATATGAAATAATATCTATGTAATTAATTCATTTATTTATAAATAATAAAAGTAAATTTGAAAATAAAAAAATGACTTAAATTAACAAAAATATTACAAAACATAAGTACAAAATAAAATAAAATGCTAATAAACAAATTAAAAGATTTTTATTGCTTTTAATTCATTTTTATAACTAAAAATATCACAATCGAAAATAAATAAACTTTTATTAAGTAAAAGTTTTAAAACGAAAAAAAGAATAAAAAATAATCAAAAAATTAAAAGTGAATATTAAGATTAAATAACAAAAAAAGCATTAGTATAAATAAAATGAATAAATATTTCTGATAATTTTGATTTGAAAAATAATATTTTAAATAAATTGAAAATAACTTATGTATATGGATGATATTAATAATATGAACAATATTTATAAATTTAATATACCTCAAATCAATATGGAGAACCTAATGAGATTAGAGTGAAGAATTTAAAAACTTTTTATATTAATAAAAATAAATTTAAAGTATTTTAACAAAAAAATAATTAATTACTTCTTCTAATTTTTTGTAATATTTAATCTATTATATCATTTATTTTTTTTTTCCAAAATATTGAATGGCAATTTATGGAAATTTAATTAATTAATTATAAGTGGATAAAAAGAACAAATAAATAATATGAATATACAAATTTGCTTTTCGTAATAGAAATCACAAAAAATTTAGGATAAAATTCATTAATAAATCTTAATATTTTTAATTAAAATGTGTACTTAAAAATATAGTTGGAACCAGAGATTAGATATTAAGGATAATTGTAATGCAAACTCACTAGTATAAATAAATTATTAAAAATTAAATTCAGCGTCCATGTATTTAAAATAAAAACTAGCTTTCATTTATTACAAAATATCCAAATTTATTTAAAAATGTATAAAATTTATAAACATATATTTATTTATATGTATATATATTTGCTAAATAATTTCTATGTCATTTTATAAAGAACTATCCATTTTATTTATTGTATTCATTATTTATAATGTTTTTCACTAAGTTAGATTATGTTATTTAATCACATTCAATTAAATTTACTAAAAATATACATTTTATTTTTTAGTCATAAAAAAAATGTTATTTTAATTTTAATTAATTAGTGTATTTAAGTCCTTCAAAAATTTATCAATATCTTAATTATATAAATAAATATATTAATTTTATTTTATAATCTTATTAATTTTACTTTTATTTCTTATTTTTTTAATTGATCTCTTAATATTTTTTCGAATTATTCTTTTGATTGGGAAATCTGATTGTTTCTATTAGTTTTTATATATTAAATGTATATTTATCAAACAATTTGTTTTAAATATATTTAATAAAATCATTTTTTTCTATATTAAAATTATTATTTTAAATTTATTTATAAATAAAAAAATTTATTTTGAATAAAATAGCTAATCACTAAGTGAAAAGCGTAAATCAACAAAATAATCAATTTTTTCAAAATTTCTTGCTTTATCAATCGATAAATTAAGTTTTTACAATAAATATAGTGCCAAACTTGTGATATTCTTGCACTACGCTATTCCTGTGCCTAAATCTTTTGCACCCTCATCACCAATACTATTATTGCTTTAAATATAAGAATAAATAATGAATTAAGAAAATAAATTTGGAGGAGAAAGGATTGTAAAAAAAAGATTGTTGCTTTTGTTAGTATGTTCGTTTGTTTTTGAAGGAGTAAGTAACTCAGTATGTAAGTAAGTAAGTAATTAAGTTAACAAATTGATTATTTTTTAGTTGAGGAGTAAGTAAGTTATTAAAAAAGCAATCTAATAAAAAAATAAATAAATAACTAACTAACTAACTCTAACTTGCTTACTAACGAAGTGACTTAATTAGCTAATCACTAAGTGAAAAGCGTAAATCAACAAAATAATCAATTTTTTCAAAATTTCTTGCTTTATCAATCGATAAATTAAGTTTTTACCTTAAATCAAGTGTCAAACTTGTGATATTCTTGCACTACGCTATTCCTGTGCCTAAATCTTTTGCACCCTCATCACCAATACTATTATTGCTTTAAATATAAGAATAAGTAATGAATTAAGAAAATAAATTTGGAGGAGAAAGGATTGTAAAAAAAGATTGTTGCTTTTGTTAGTATGTTCGTTTGTTTTTGAAGGAGTAAGTAACTCAGTATGTAAGTAAGTAAGTAATTAAGTTAACAAATTGATTATTTTTTAGTTGAGGAGTAAGTAAGTTATCAAAAAAGAAATCTAATAAAAAAATAAATAAATAACTAACTAACTAACTAACTAACTCTAACTTGCTTACTAACGAAGTGACTTAATTAGCTAATCACTAAGTGAAAAGCGTAAATCAACAAAATAATCAATTTTTTCAAAATTTCTTGCTTTATCAATCGATAAATTAAGTTTTTACCTTAAATTAAGTGTCAAACTTGTGATATTCTTGCACTACGCTATTCCTGTGCCTAAATCTTTTGCACCCTATGCACCAATACTATTTGACCTTTAAATATAAGAATAAATAATGAATTAAGAAAATAAATTTGGAGGAGAAAGGATTGTAAAAAATGATTGCTGCTTTGTTAGTATGTTCGTTTGTTTTTGAAGGAGTAAGTAACTCAGTATGTAAGTAAGTAAGTAATTAAGTAATTAAGTTAACAAATTGATTATTTTTTAGTTGAGGAGTATGTAAGTTATTAAAAAAGCAATCTAATAAAAAAATAAATAAATAACTAACTAACTAACTCTAACTTGCTTACTAACGAAGTGACTTAATTAGCTAATCACTAAGTGAAAAGCGTAAATCAACAAAATAATCAATTTTTTCAAAATTTCTTGCTTTATCAATCGATAAATTAAGTTTTTACCTTAAATTAAGTGTCAAACTTGTGATATTCTTGCACTACGCTATTCCTGTGCCTAAATCTTTTGCACCCTATGCACCAATACTATTTGACCTTTAAATATAAGAATAAATAATGAATTAAGAAAATAAATTTGGAGGAGAAAGGATTGTAAAAAAGATTGTTGCTTTTGTTAGTATGTTCGTTTGTTTTTGAAGGAGTAAGTAACTCAGTATGTAAGTAAGTAAGTAAGTAAGTAAGTAAGTAAGTAAGTAAGTAAGTAAGTAAGTAAGTAATTAAGTAATTAAGTAATTAAGTTAACAAATTGATTATTTTTTAGTTGAGGAGTAAGTAAGTTATTAAAAAAGCAATCTAATAAAAAAATAAATAAATAACTAACTCTAACTTGCTTACTAACGAAGTGACTTAATTAGCTAATCACTAAGTGAAAAGCGTAAATCAACAAAATAATCAATTTTTTCAAAATTTCTTGCTTTATCAATCGATAAATTAAGTTTTTACTCTAAATCAAGTGTCAAACTTGTGATATTCTTGCACTACGCTATTCCTGTGCCTAAATCTTTTGCACCCTATGCACCAATACTATTTCACCTTTAAATATAAGAATAAATAATGAATTAAGAAAATAAATTTGGAGGAGAAAGGATTGTAAAAAAAGATTGTTGCTTTTGTTAGTATGTTCGCTTGTTTTTGAAGGAGTAAGTAACTCAGTATTTAAGTAAGTAAATAAGTTAACAAATTGATTGTTTTCTTTTGAGGAGTATAAAAAAAAAATATTGTTGCTTTTGTTAGTTTTTTAATTTGTTTTTGAAGGATTAAAAATAATTAAAACCATTAAATTAATAATTCTTAATTTATTTGCTATATAAGTGGCATTAATGTAAAAATTAAAAAATACTTAATTCTATTAAATAGATATAAATAATTTATAATGAATTTATAAATAAATCTTAATAGAAAATAAGTAATTTTATAGATATTTAACTTTCATGAACAATTCACTGGTTAACAAAAAAAATTAATAATAAATTTTATGAATTATACTCAATTATCAGAATGAATTATACTTTTAAATTCATTTAGTCTTTAATTTTTATTTTAAACTTTAATTTTTTATTAATTTAAAAAAAAATAATCATTTTTTATATATTGCTAATCCAGGTATTTAAATTTGAAGAATATGTAGCCTTATTGCTTTTTTTATTTAAATTTATCAAAATCTATCAGATCTACTTGTGATTTTATTAAAAAGATAGACCTTTTAATTTTTTATGAAAAACTAATTTTTTTGCTTTAAAAAGTGTTAAATTGATCATTAATAAAATATTAAAAACCTAAATTAAAACGAAAATATTACAGTAAATATATTTCGACAATATTGTAATTTTAAGCTTTGCTCAAATCCTTTATAGATCTAATTTCTATAGTCGTATTTTGCTCTATTTTTTTATCATTTTGCACCAAAAGAGTTTTTTGCACGATTTGTTTCATTTCTTTTGAATTAGTTAAGAATTTTGTATCGCTTTATTCAACAATATCATACAGAGATGCTCTTTAACCACTATCAGAAACAACAAGAAGGTTAATAAATTTATAAATTTCTGAATTTTTGTTAATTTTAATCTTAGATTTTTCGAAAGGCTTATCTAACTGCTTTTTTGTCATTAATAAGAAAGTAAAAGGTGCATTTTTCTTCAGATCTTAATAATTATCTAAGAAAGCTAGTAATAATCCTACTGAATACGAATCCGACTAAAATAAAAAAATTTATTTAAAATTAACATTTTAATAAAAAAAATTACTTTCTTTGAATAAATCTTAAGTTCATTATCCTATTTATTTAGTATTTCAGGTGCTGAATATCCGAAATTACCTATGCTCTATATATAAAGTTATTTTTAACATTTAAATATATAAAATTAAAAATCTACTTCTATAGCTTGAATTGAATCTTTATTATCTGGAATCTAAGCAGATAAGCCGAAATCACCTTAAAATTAAAAGATAATGAAAAATAATTTATGCATAAAAATAGTTTACATAATTTTATTTCTGGTTATTTTCCATCTAAATAAACCAAAAAATTTTCTGGTTTAATATCTCTATGAATGATATTAAATGAGTGAATATAATTAACAGAATCTATAATTTAGATCGCTATTTAATATTTATCATCGTCGTTAAATTATCCATCTTTGTTTTATCTATCAAGATATTCATCTAACGAACCTTTTACAAAATAAAAAGTAAAATGTAATCAAATATATTTTTTAAATATCATTTTTATATTAAAAATCTTTCAAAATAATGAAAGTATAATAATTATTTTCGTTAAAAATAATTCTTTTTACAATTTATAAATTAAATTTTTATTTTTTTTAAATTTAAAAAACAAATTAAATTCTTTTTTATAAAAAAATATATTTATTCATTTGTTTATTTATTAAAAATTGGGTTTTATATGATAAAAATATCTTCATAAGTAGTTAATTGAAACCTAAATTAAAATAAATATTAAGAATTTAATAAATTACATGAGCATTTTTCTAATTCAAAGACTGAGTATCTATCAGGTCCTATTTTATTCTCTATTATATAGCTATCATAAAGCTATACCACTAGTGGCTCTTTTAATTTCTACATAATACTAATTTCATTTTAGATATGTTATTCATCTTCTATTTTTTGTATTTTTAACACTATTTCTTTTTTATCAAGTTTAGCTTTTTTAGTAGCTAATACCATTCCAAAGCTTCCAAAGCTTAGAATTTGAAAATTATTCGTATATTTTTTATTTTCATAGAGACTTTTCAGCAGATTAGATAATACTTCCACTTTTGTAAATTGTGCTTGAAAATCTTTTTGTTTAATTTTGTCATTGGTGTTCTCTAGAATAAACTTAGCATACTCGTCGAATTAACTTTGCTTTAAATTAATTATTTTTTTATTTACATTTAATTTATAACTTTTTATAATAATTTAAGCTAAAAATAATTACCGTTTGTTTTTGCAGTTGATTAATTTTTTCAAATATTTACTGTGCCTATCTAGGTATTTATTCCTTTTATTATATTACAAATAAAATTATTTTTTGAATTCAAATATTCAAAAAATAAAATCAATTTTTTTTATTTTGAGAGATTAATGTAATAAAAAATTTATTATGAAATAAAACTTCTTTTTTTATTAACTATTGAGGAAAATAACAATTTATTTACATCAATAATAAAAGAAATAATAAGTTTATTTTTTCATTTTTATAAATTTTATTTGATAGTTTAAAAATGATGTGTTTTTTTATTTAAAAATAAAAAATTTTGTTGCATATAAGCTATTCTTATTCTTATTAAACTCTTAACATTATTTTTATGTTATCCGATTTGTTAGGAAAAGATAAAATATATTGTTTTAAATTCTTTTTAATAAAATTTTTAAGAGTTTAAATAAAATTTAATTTCTTTTAGGAAACATTTAAAATTAGCTTATTAAATAAGCTTAAATTTTGAGTAATAAATTAATTTTGAAATAATATATTACCTCTAGTATCATAGAAGTCAATACAAATTTCAATGGTTAACCATGCATTTCGATGAGCTAAGATAGTAATTCTCCTGCTGTAGTCCTATCTAAATACCAAGGTTTTAAGCATATTTTAGCTATTTTGTAAATATTAGAATTCTTATCTATCTAATACTTTTCTTTAGGTATTTCTTCTCCTTTGAATAGATAATATTTTATGTTGGTATCTATCCAATTCTCATTTAGAGTCTTGAGATTATCAAGCTCTAATAAAATGAGTCCTAGTGAAAAGAGATCTGACTATTTAATGTAAATAAACTTTAAAAAATAATATAACACTATTATTAAAAACCTGAATTCTAGATTGTCCTGCTTCCACTTCTGGAGCAAAATATGCATCAGTTCCTTTCTGAAAATTATAAAAAATATTGAAACCAATTAAAATAATAATTAATTTTTTAACCTTAGACATGAAGCTTTTTGATTTAGACACAGCTGATGCAAAGCCAAGATCACCTGAATT